ACACACACATCTGATTAACTAAGTTCCTGGAAAGCGTCCAGCACACTTGATAATTGTGTGTAGTGGGTATGTGTAGAGTGTGCGTTTGAACCATCTGTCCCTAGTTCACCTCCACACCCAGTCTTTGAACACATACCTGGGGAAACATTGCTCTGTAATGTCTCCTCTCTCCAGCTTTCCCTGTGTGCAAATGGTTGAATACACTCTTATGCCTATTGAGAGATTTTTCACTCCCTCTATAGCAGTCACACACATGTACAGTACAAATCGGCCAAAACTCCCACTGAATGGCCACTGATGAATAACTTGAGAGCCTAGAAGCTGTACAAATGCCCTCAGACATCAAAGAAGATTCCTGAAACGCTGCCATTTACTGTGCAGAGCAAATTCAACACAGTGTACACAAGGATATATGCACAAGCTCTCCAATAGGGCCCATATTGTATCACTATTATTAGTGTTTGTAGAGTTTTGTAAATATCTATATCCAAGTGTGTGTAATCAGCTTTGCTTATAAGGTTGTATTGTGATTTGTACACATGTAGACAAATCTGCAAATGCGTGCATGGATCTGCAAATATTTACAGAAATCTATAAAAGTATAAATGCAAACAATCTCCTCCAACTGTGAATCATAAACTAAAGTTTCACTGTGCATGTGAGCAGCCTGCACATACACAGCATCTTTAAGTCTGGTTTGTTGGAGCGGCCAAGCGAGGAGAAGAGGGACAACCTGGAGATCATTCCTGGAAATCTCCGGCAGCCTTCACCTGGAACTGATTCCAGAAAAGCTGCGCAAGGAGACGGACCAAATCTCCACGACTGAGCATGAATCTGACGTGCCATCCACCATGAATGCTAGTGTTTTCACTTTTGTTGGTTGGGACGATTAAAGACTGGCGGCGAACATAAGCGCAGACAGATGCGTTGGACAACATCCTTTGCTGCATATTGGGCAATAATGTGTCTTTGTTTTTTAAATTTAGTTTTACCTGCAGTACATCATCAAAACATCATGACTGCTGGGTAAACATGAAGCGTTTGGGAAAGTGTGGATCAAGACGGATGAAGAGGCGTGGGGGGGAGAGGCTGATTGAATGTGACTGGTAGAATACTGTCTACTTGAAATACATGGGAGACGAAGGTAAAAAACACAGGTCAGAGCTGAAGAGAAGAAGAACTTGCTCAAGTTGGGGTCAACAAAAAGATAAATGGAAGTGGAAGAATGGAGTAGGTGGGGGAGGGAGTGATGGGAAGATAGAGGGAGGAAGGGGGGAGAAAGAGAGGGAGGAGTGGAGCAGTGCAGCTAAAGTTGAAGGGTAATTGTTCTGAGTTCTTGAGCCTGGAGAGGAGCGGTCAGCTCTCTAATGGAGAAAGAATGAGGGAACGGAGAGAGAGGCACAGCGAGGGTAGGAGGAGGGGATGGGAGGAGGGGGCGAGGCGTCCCTGCAAAGCAAAAAACAACTGTACTCGCCAAGACTTTCAATGCATGCGCACAGGTTTTTGTAGTGTTGTGTCCAAAGTGTAGCATGCACACACACAAACACACACACAAACACACACACACACAACAACACACGGTCAGCCAGTCACTTCAAGCTGCACTTCCACCCGCAAACCCCCCTTCACCCAACACAGCACAAAAACAAAACAAGTTTTGTCTCCCGAACAGCCGAATGTGAACCCCCCCCCTCCTCCGCAGTCAGAACCGCACTCCGCTTCTCCAGCTCTCTCTTCACAAACAGGCTCCAAGGACATTCATTCAGTCAGGAGCTACAGCTTCTATCGCTCTGCGGAGGGCCCGTGTAAACACAGTGTTGGGTTGCCCCTGATTTTATACCTCTCAGCACACCACAGTCCTCTCTGAGGTTTATCTGGACCGCACAAAGGCCGACAGTTCCAAGGTCCTTGTTGAGATGTGGGAAAGTGAAGGCTAGTGGGAGAAAAGCTACACAAGGAGCAGGATATCGATTGGAGAAACCATGGAGGACAAGATGTGCATCAAATTAGAAAGCTTGCTAAAAATAATTCTAATATATGGCAGAATAAAAGAATAATGGAAGTGAGGGAAGAAAACAGATGGTTTTAAAGGACGTGTACTGCAAAAGATATTCCAGCTGTTGTAATATGTGGCAGACTTGGAGGAAGCCGGGAGCCTCCGGCTTACAATCCTCATAAGGGAGGGTCAGGAATTGGAAGCAACGACTAACAGGAAATTACCACAGAATATCACCATCCTCAGAAGAGCAAGAAACGCCCCTGCATTTGGACTGAAGTGTTTGTGGGGTTTTTTTGTGAAAATGTATTATTCTTATGGCTTATCCCACTTTAGTCTTGGGACCTAATAACGGGACAGTACTATTCATCCAGCTGCCCGTACTGTACAAGCATTTTGTTCCTGGATGCCTGGAAATAAACTTTCATTTCTTGTTGTTGCACAGAAATGATTCATTCATTCATTAACAAAACATCAGTTTGAAGTAGAAGAGTTCGGATTAAACTAATTTAAAGTGCAAAGTATATAAGTAAAATGTAATGATGGAATTAAAAAACAACAGCTGAGATACTGCCCTTGAGGATATTGTACATTTACTGAGTAACACTGATGCCTTATAGAAGTAGTGCAGTTAGAAATATATTTATACTGCATATAAAGGTAGTTGAAGTGCAAACATTTGTGCAGTTTGATGCAGATGTAATTGAAAGTATCATAGTACAGTTGTACAGATGGTCACACGGGTGGGTTCACAGTTCTGATGCCCCACAGTCTGCACAGTGAGGATGACTGTTGAAAGTGTCGTGTCCAGCTCAACTGTTTTCACATCATAGCGAGGAACGAAACACAAATTAACCATGATGCTTCTCTTCAGATTGGCTCATGCAACACAACGTATAGTTCTGTCACTGACCCTGAAGAAGGTGTCACAGTCCTTGAGGAACGTTTTGACCTCCTTACTCGTCGGGGTGCACTGACTGCGTTTCTCAGCAATGAAATCATCAACACAGTTCTGTGTGTAGGGGAGAACCGTTGATGTGTTCTCCTCCAAATCCTCATCTGCAACATGCAGCTGCAAAGAAGTCTTGCTGTGGTGGAAACTTCATTTTTAAATCTTTAACAATGAAAGCAACAGCTGTCCTGCAGCTGTTCCTAGAATTAACTTCTCCTCTCCCAAGGAGGCTCCATAGGCAACAATCTGTGATCAGCTTTGAGACACTTGAACAGAGGGTGATCTGAGAGATTTTCCTCTCTTGGACCCCTGAGCAGAATCACAGGACAGGAAGGCCTCAATTTGCAAAGCTGGACCTCCCTGAAGGTCGAGTGGGGCCCATTCCAGAGTTGTTTTGGTGTCATCTCCTGGAACACTACAGTGACTTATGTATAATCGGTGTGTGACTTCCTGTTTACAGCGCCAAAATGATCCTCTTCACTCTTTCAACTGTTTTGGTTTTTCTCATGTGTGGAAAAATAGGAGCACATATGAAGAAAGGTGCATTTCAGCCAGACGTGCAAAATGAACAAGATGAGCCTCAATAGTGAAACAAATAAAAGACTTAAGTAGACTATATAACAGCCAGTCAATTCAAACCACTACTGCCTCTGCTTCCTGTTGTCTGCACTAAAATGAAAGCCGCAACTAAAATGACACCAATAGGAAAAAAAAATATAGAGAGATATTTTTTTGTAGTTTTGATTTGCTGAGGAAGAAGTGTTTCCCAGAGACATGGCTACAGGAAGATACTCTGGATCCCCTCGGTTACTAACAACAGTGTCAGAAGGCTCAGGCGGACAGCATGGAGCATTTCTGCAGACCAGACGCTGATCTCTTAGCTGTGGGTAGTTTTCATGCACCATCATGGACATCTGCACCTGCTGTATGCTCATATACAGAGGCCTCTGTGAGAGATTCTACCGTTTGCATCTTCTGTTGTTACACTGTTTGTTGTCGTTACACTGTACAAGAGCAGCCTCACAAGCAGAGTGTTGTTTTCACTTCGGTCTGTCTGTGTGTATCTCCAGGCGATTCACTTTCGGAGCTGATCAGTCAAAAGTCAAATATTCATCCGAAAAAGTGACATCATGAAGAAGTCACGCACAAAAAAGGATTGTTGACGTATTTCTTCTATAGGACTATAGACACAAACTAAAGCTTATATAGATCGAAAAATAATTCATGATCATATGACAATAATGATGTCATGCAGTACAGAAACCAATCATTCATCATCATCTTATGATATGATGATGTCATGATGTTGTCATTATTACAATATGAAGAAGTTAGCATTACCTGATTGGGGTGTATGCAGCACACAAGCAGGGTTTGTGTTGCCCCTCTAATGATATTTATCTTATTTTTTACCTTACTATACTTTTCAAACTGTGTGTTATGAAATTACAACAAACTTCAGGGGTCTTTAAGTTTTTCTGATTCAGTTGTCGTGCCAGTTGTTTTTCATACAAAAGCAATGGAATTAATTGGGGAGCAGGACTGTGGCCTAGTTACAGTTGCCAAGCCAAAACTGAATAATTACTGTTCATGGGAGTGGATTCACTGACAGTCACTTACTATTAGTAGCATACAGAGTAGCCACCACAAACAAGTGGAAGAGAAGAAACTGTCCAGAATGTATTTAAGATGGAGCACACCTCACCTCCAAAGTGCTCTTCAAAGTCTTCACCTCTGCCAGGAGCTGTCTCAGTATCTCTGAGGGAAGGAAACAGAAATGTCATAAGACATCACATGCATATCAAACACTAAAAAGAAATGTCAAGGAAACTAACCTGCCCTTCTCAGAATGGGGAAACGGTAAGCCCACAATGACACGAAAAGTTTTAGTGTTCAAACAATAACTCGACAGGCCTGAATATGATTTAAAAGTGGTATTTAAATTCAAATACTAGCAGTATAACATATCAATCTTACCTTCTGTGTCCGTGGCCCGATTGTTACTGTCAGTGATACCCAGTGATGTCCGACACTCCTCCAGCAACTTCCTCAGTTCCTCAGCCTGGCCGTCCCCAGATTCATGACCCAGCAGAAAAGACTGACTCAGACCACTGTCCCTTTCCCTCCAGGTCAGTCCTGAGGAACTGCCCACCACAGGTGAGGCACCACACACAGAAGAGGGATTTTTTGTCGGGCTGAAAAGCACAGTCTTCCCCTGGGAGCCGGGAGTCCGAGGCGTAGAGGTGGGAGGACCCCCGTTCCTTCCCACAGCAGCTGGTGCTTTAACCACAGCAGCTCCAGGCTTGTTGTTGTGCACCAGGCTGACTCCAGGGCCAGTGGCTGAGCTGTTTGAGCCGACCGGTGGGGGAGGCTTCCAATTAGGAGCGGGGATGAATTTGCTGGGAGTGGTCGGCGTGGTGGTGGAGGGGGGCTGTGATTTCTTCCCAATTGATGTGATGACTGGGACTGGAGGTGGAGGTGACAGTGGGGCAGCGAGGGGAGAGTGAGGCGTGGAGGCGTTGAGGAGTTGGGGGACGGCGGGAATGACAGGAGGAACGTCACTTTGTGGGGAAGCAGGAGGAGTGTGGAAACTCTCCACATGGGACCCTGAAGAGGAGAAACACAATTCAGACAAAATAAAAAAAAAGTGAATACATGTTTGAAGACCCCCTCCAGTTAAGACATGAAGATTTTACACTACACAAATTTAACTACTCAATAAAAACTATCTCCTTCAATGAAAATCATATTTTCCTTGTATATGCACTGAAAGATTTAAATGTGACGTATGAAGCATTTTCAGTTTTTCTTTCCTGTAGTGTGTGATACAGGCTTCTAACCTCAAAGCAGGTTGTGTTTTCATTTGGTTTGTCTTGTGTTTGTTTGTTTGTTAGTTAGAAGGATTACGTGTTAAACAACTGGAAAGATTTCCACAAAACCTGGTGAAAGGAGCTTGTATGGGTCGGGAAAGACAGAAACCTGATATATGCAGATCAGAATAAATGGGCAGATGCAGGAATTCATTCATTCAATCTGAGGCGTTAGCGGGTATGCGGTTGCATGCACATGAAAGTCGCTCTCATGTGCAACAGAATCTTTGTGACACATCAAAGAGTGAAAGACAGGTCCTCATGTGAGAGAGAGAATTGCTTTGCATGCCACTTGCAGCTGAAACTTGAGATCTGACATGTGACATCACGATACCCCCACACTGGCCGTAAACAAACCTAGCTGCCCCCCTAACAAATCCTCTCTACACGCACTGGAAGCGGGTGATCGATAGCAAAGGAGCGGGCCAGCTGACATATCAGAGCAGACAGGGGTTTATCGAGTGGGTTGCCTTAAAGAGACAGGAGCCAAAACCAAGTGTTTGATACAGAGGCTGAATGGAGGAGCTGCAGCAGTTTTATGAACAAGCTAAATTAAGAGTATGAACCTGACAATGAGCATCATGTGTCTCCTTTAAGTTTCCACAGCACCCTATATCACACTCGTCATAAACTGAGGTCTAGGGCGAGAACCTTTCCTCCTTCAGCAGATGAGAGCGAGCAAAGATTTAAGTGTCAAACTCTGCACATTTATCATCCTGCACAGTGAAGCTCAGATATCCAAGTGAAAACAATAGACAAAACCTTTTCTTTCAGTGATGTGTTCGGAGCAATTGAAAGAGACACTGACTAACTAACTAGATCATGGGCAGAATGACGGCAGAGGGCAGTCGTGTGGTCACTCATATGGCATGTGAGGTGACCAGGACAACAGGGGCCTCATTGGCCAGCGGACATCCAGAACGACCGTGCCCCTGAAGACGCTTTAACTGAAAAATTCCTCTTGGACTGCTCATCCTCAATGTTGCCGCGATGCTCATTCTTCAAATTTAGGAACACACTCACACTCAGAGGACAAACGTTCCATGTCCCAGCAGTGAACTGCAACTTCATCTCCAAAGTTGACACGTTAACATGATTTTTACATTTTGGCTCAGGGCTCCTTTAAACTCAGAAATGATGGGACCTAGTGGATATTACGTCTCCTTTCCTCCTTTACCTTGTTTGGACAAAACTGCTCAAAAGATGAATGTTCTTTTTTCTTAAGTGATGTAAGAGCAGCAGTCAAACATTTGCAAAGTTACGCACCACCCCTGATTTTTGTTTCTTCATTCCAAACCTTAATGTGCTTGTCCAACCATGGGTGGCAGATTGACTGAATGACCGTGTGTGTGTGTGTGTGTGTGTGTGTGTGTGTGTGTGTCAGAGAGCATTAGGCTTCCCATGATTAATCCGCTGCCCTTGTGCTGAGCAGGGGAATTCTGCCGATTCATCACAGCTGGCCCAGCGGGGCCCGAACGAATCACACAGGGACGCGAGGAGAATGACCACTGACTGAGCAACACACAGGAACCCTGCCAGGAGTCCGCCTGCCACTCAGCATGCACACACACACACACACANCACACACACACACACACACAGAGTCTTTCCGCCTGCTTCTCCTTTTGTTGCCTCATATTTCCTGAATGCCTCTTATCCAACCTCTCCTCTCTTTTTAAGGAATTTTCCTGTACTATGCTCACTTCCTGTATCCCTCCTCTTTTTCTCTCCACTATCTAATGACTACACGTATCAGAGCCTTGAGGTGTGCTGGCTTTATTCTCAAAGAACACACATACACTGTCACTGTGTGGGGTGCCAAATCTATTAGAAATCCAGTTCAGAATTCTGATGAGGAGCAAGGAACATTCAAAGGCCATGATTTGACCGGAACTAGAGAGCTTGTAACTGAATTGGGGTTCATAAGGGTACGTGTGTGAGGTCCAGGTATTTCCCATGTTGTGGAGACCTACATCTGTTTACACAGTCACATTATGGGGACTTATTATCTTTATGGGGACAAAAAGTCATCATAACATAAATAATTTAATTTTAAGCTGAAGGCATGTTTTAAGGTTAGGTTAAGGATTTGTTTAGGTTAGGTTTAGGTGACATTGAGGGTTAGGCAAGTAGTAACAATGGTTATGGTTCGAGTTAGTCTCCTGGAAATCAAGTGTGTGTGTGGGTGTGTGTGTGTGTGTGTGTGTGTGTCTGTGTCCATGTACCTGTGGGTCCATGGCCATCCTTGCTGGAGAAGTTGCCCATACTGCTACAGTGATGGGGTTTGGGCCCCAGGTGAAGCCCTGCGGGTGTTTGTTGCTTCTTTCTCTCTGTCCACACCAAAGTGGCACTGTGGAGGTTACACACACACACACACACACACACACACACACACAATTATTCAGTAGATAAGTAATTCAGTGGCTGCAGCTCCTGGTTCTCATTTGAATGTTAAGAAAAACAGTGTGTTTGCACAGTGAGGCTGAAACAAGACTGAGCAGTGACCACATGTGCCAAACAAAGTGTTGTCATGTCAGGTTTAAATACATCCGAAAACTCAACAAGAGAAATGCGTCAAAATCAGCAGAGAAGCAGCAAATTACGCGCAATCTAAACCACAAAATAGTCCAGGTTAGCAAAACACATGTGATACACCTTCACATGTTTCTTTCAAAACGTCCAAAACGCTTCTGATGAAAGCGTAAAAAAGTTTTGACGCGCGATCAAACTTGCAACGCGCATAAAACATGTTTGGAAAAGTACTTTTGCGCACACTACGCTAAAGCCTGCTCCTTTAAAAAGAAGCTGAATGTTAAGAAACATTAGGTACAAACCGCTGGAAGAAGACAAGTAAAGATCCAAACGATCCGCTGTGAGTTCGGTGAACTCTTCTTCTCCACGCTTTGCTTCCTCCGGCGCAGCTCAGCCGAGCGCACAGTGCTGCCTCTCCACTGGGGAGAGGGAGAGGAGCAGCCGGAACAGACCTGTGCTGCTGCTGCTGCTGCTGCTGCTGCTTCCACTGGGGCCAAAGATTGAAAGCAGCAGCAGCCTTTAATTAAAATACATAAACACGGATCAACGCGATAAAGTCTGGTTTTAAAAGAAGGGAATGAAAAGCAAAAAGGATGAAAGATGGCTGCTGGATGTGTCCACTGGAGGGCGCAGTTACTCTGCCTCAGGAGGAACCTGTTGCCTCCTCATTAAACCTCCATCATGGAGTCTGTGAGGCTGGTGACCCTCTGACCTGCTGTTTGAATATCAACTTTTTCAAATCTACACTTCATTTAAACCGAGTCCTGCTTGAGTCGATGCTGCTCTTTGATTGGATTGAATTCTGAAGGAAACAACACAAACACAGCTCCTTCCATTTCCTTTCATTAAAGCTTCTTCAGCCTGTTTTTATAAACTGATGGTCGCCCACCCTGAGCTCTGCCAGAGGTTTGTTCCCATCTCCGGTGTTCACTCTCTGTGGGAACTGTTGGGTTCCTCTCTTGAATATTGTTAAGTCTCAGCCTCACTGTGTGAAGTGCCGTGTTGTTATTTCACACATTTCAAATACACTTGATTTGAGTTCAATTAAATCTGGTTGTTCCAATCTTTGAGATCACACACATAAACTCTATATCTGCTCTCTCACAAGCTCAAACATCTGTATTAATATAAAATGTAATGAATCACTTGAACTGTGACTCCAATGCTGGTAATATTGAGAAATCTGTTTGGGGTTAGAGTCATGTTTGTTCCTACATTACTCAAAGTCTGTCTCCCACTGGCTTTGATCTCTGCCAAGGAGGTTCTGTTTTCACCCGTCTGTTTACCATTACATGTTAGTGTGGATCTGGATTAGGGGGCAGATCTTGATTCCACCTTTAAAGACTGATATTTGTGCGTGCATGAAATTCGGTGCAGCTTGATTGAAAGTGCATTTTTGGTTTACGATGATGCAAAACTGTCTATCCAACCTTGAGTTTATCCAAATAAACAAAGGCACATATTTGTATAATGTCTATCTTATGAAGTCAACAGCATCGTTATTAGTATCTGTCCCAGCTTTTTGGATGAAAAGATTCCAGCCAAACTCTGAGAGCTTGATTTCACTGCAGTAAAGGGTGCAGGGGGGGAAATCAATGGTCTCCTCCGATCCTCTGGAAAGTTTTAAGACTCGGAAAGTTTCCAAGTGTTTAAATTTTGTTTTACTGAAAAACCGCCCAAAATGCCTTAGGTACTTAATATCATGTCGATATTAATGTCAATTGTCCCCAGCTTGTTTACTTGGCTATACCTTAATTTATTTCTTTATTTGCTAGTCCCCTTAAATTAAAGTAATGTATTTTCAAATGAGGTCACAGGCATCGTGATTCTCTGCTTAGTAAGGACAAAAAAAGATGTACCATGTCAAGTAACTATTAATGAAAGTTTGTACATTTGAATCCTTAAATCTACTCAGATTAAAGTGCTACAATGTTCTCTCACCTCTTTGAGCGTGATTAGAGCAAAACAGCATGAAATTCTCTTTGACTGCAAACATTTATTTCTTGGTACAAAAAGAACAGCGTCATCGTGTTGCGTTTCTGTGCAGAAACAATGAGACACAGGTGTGACTGAAGTGCCACAGCAGAGAAACATGTTTGAAATGCTTTTATTTCATAAATCTCTTCCAACATCTCGTCGTTAAATATCAATCATGTTGCTAACAGAACAAATGTCTCCTCTAATGGACACAGCTTTATTGAATGTAATGGATGAGCACTGATGTGTGAAACTCTGCAAACAAAGACGAAGACTGGGCTTCCAAACGAATCCTCTGTATTTACACTAATTTCCCCCAGGGGACAATAGCGTCTCAAGTCTTTATTTCTGATGGCTGACGCGTTTGTAGACATTCGCTCTGTCGGTGCACTGTCTCGGCCGAGTGAAACAGGAAGTTTGCTGCAGTGAGCAGACACCACCTCGCTCTCTGACTGAGATCAATAGGTTTTCACAGGGGCTCTGTGCTCACTGTGCAACACTGCAGTATAGAGAGAATCCATCAAAACCAGCCTGGTGCACTACACTACCTCCAACCCATACACACACATTGATTTCACACTCGTGGGAGAGCAATGCATGGACATGAGTACCAGCATGTGTAATACCCCTAACCCTTTAGAGCAGGTGAAGCTCATGTTGAATCTGCAACGTTTTCAAAACCCTCATGTACCTTTTCCTTTCCCATCGGGTGTGTGAACACACAATCCTGATGTTTAGAGACCCTCACGTCGCCACTATGAAGTTGTTTATGGGTCTCTGTCCAGAGTGAGGCAACACATTGTTTAGCATCTGATGCCAGTATGAGCCATTAGTTCCCTCTTCTGAGTGGATTATGACAATTTTGTTGGTTCTGGATAGCCGCTACCAGGGATCTAAAAAAACACTGGTTCAATTAGGCTGACAGACAAGAGCGGCTCCTGAGCGATGAAGAAATCTTTTTTTTATTTCAAGGTCTGGCTGACCTCTCAGTGATGAGCCACTCAACTTTCTCACCATCCTCTTTTTTTCACAACTTTACAGAACACTAGTAAAACCTCTTCTTGTTTATAGAGAAATAAAACTCCCCCTTTATGATGTGTCACCATCATATAAGGTTTAATTGATTTCTACACTGTCCATACTCAGCATATGGGACAGTCCATTCAAAGACAGTATGCGCTCCGCAAGGCACTGCACGCATTCTCAACCACGCTCAGTGTCTCGCCACATTTCAAATCCCTTTCAACTGCCGAACACGTGGAAACACCATAAAATAAAAAATCCACGTATGACAGTGGGATGAATGGTGGACACCGCAGGGGGAAAGGTACAAAGTTGGGATGCACAGGAACTGACTCTCATGGGTCCTTGTTTCTCTAATACCAGATTAGGTTCATGTGTGTGTGTGTGTGTGTGTGTGTGTGTGTGTGTGTGTGTGCCAGGGATGCTGGGTTAATTATACCTACTGAGAACACTGGCTAATCCAGGAGGAATCACCATCCCTACCTTGCCCGTTTGCCAGCCGCAGTGTCCCAGCAAGGTAAAATTAGGATTCATAATCCGGCACGGTGTATTTGTTTGTTTACATGTCTCAGGTCTTGATACTGAAAGTAAATAAACCTTAACACATGTTTTGTATCCTCCGCTGTTCTTTCACTACCCTGACCAAAGAATCGAACTTTTCTAAAGAAAAACTAAATTCAGACTAATTCAGCTACAACCTGGGTCTTCCACCAGAGTCTCCTGATTGACAGCCGATGCCAGACTGTGCCAGCCCACGCCAAGGCTACTTGATGGATGGTGGTCGCTCCTCCTCAGAGGAAATCAATTGAAGTCATGGACAGGGATGGGCTGCTGAAGCACTTACACATGGCTGGCTGTCTGCCTGTGGGGACGGGTGGAGGGGTTGGGGGCACAGCGAGAGGGGTTGCCAACCATCTGTGTACAGAGGAGCGCTGCCAAGTGTCAGTCCCTTATTACGGCCGGCCTGAAGGAGACACACAATGTCTCCGAATTAAACATTTAAGCTCATTCAGTCCTGAGTCTTTGGGAAGTTCCAGCATCATCACATGCTCATCCAATCATTCGCACTAATTGGTGTCCGCTCAGTGCATTAAAGGCTCTAATATGAAGACTTTTTCAGGAAATCCAGCGGAAGTTAAATTATATTAACATGTGTTGCACTATTTTCAGTACTACAACATCATCTATCGCTCCCAACTTCCTGCCAACACACAGGTTCAGTCAGAAATCCACACTAGCACATCTTCCGAGAGCACATGGGCCACATTTTTGCAACGGGCCAGCATAGCTACAATCTTAGACGCACTAAAATGCAGCAACTGAAACTCAACCAGTGACGCCGGCCGACCTCGATCCAACCCTAGAATTGCAAGTTATTTCAAGGGAACTTCTGTCCGACGAAGGACGGGGCTGGGATCTCCTGGCAGGCATTGGCCCGGCGAGTTACATCCAGGATGGGGGTCTTGTGGGCCGCTGTGCTTGCGTCGGTGTGCGTGCCAACCCACTGCAACACACGGGCAGAGGGCCGGTGGTAGAGGGCCAACTGCCTGGAGCTGTAGCCGCACATAGCGATCCCCACCGCCCCCAGCAGCACGGCCATACCAGGCATGGTCCTCTCAGCTGGGGGCACTACAGCCACATTATGAAAGGCCTGCGTCTAAAAGAGGAGGAAAAAGAGAAAACGTTTTGAGTAATAATGAAAGACAATAGCATAACTTTTTTGCCAAGAATGATCACAGAGTTACGATTTGTTAATATCCAAAGTATATGCATGGAAGGAGATCAATTTGTAGCACCGGGGGGTGACGACATGCCATGCAGCCCTTTTTCCAAACCTCGTCTGCAACAAATGAGTGAGCCACAATATGCTCACCTTGGCCCCCGCCCCATCCGACCCCCCGTCACCAATGCCCGAGAGATTTAAAACCCATCTTCTCTCATTTACCCAAACGCAGTGTCTCCGCACGGCGAAAAACAAAAACCTCGTCTATTTCGCGTCACAGACAATTTCCTCCACGGGTCCCTGACAATTATAAAGAGTGAGGAGGAACAGATAATAGAAACGTCATAGTTTCTAATGGAGCTGTGTCACAGGCAGTTAGGAAGGCTCATTCACACAGCTCCCATTTCCACTTACAGTGCAATGGACTGCCATTGGATTTCTGCATTGTTTGTGGTGAACAGCAGGAAAAAAGTGTGTTTTATGAGCTAAAACAAAATGCATCCTATAATTACGGAAACAATAGTCTGGGTGGTATGTATATAATATGCTGGATACTGGAGACTGAGAACTGGCTGCATAATGGTAGCATATATCTTAGTTAAGCCAACCTTCTGTATGCTCTGTCCCAGCTATGAAGCTGCAAACGGTCAACATGGCCGTTCTCTGAACAATCGAATTGTTTCACTTTCTTCTACTTAACAAGGACTCTCCGAGCACTGTGCAACCTTGACTTCAAGTCCAAGACGTTTAAAGGGTTTTCTGCCCTTTTCTTTTAAAGGTCTTAAATCAAAACTAACTGCCTGCTGCAGATAAATAGCAATAAAGTGCAATCCACTGCAGGCAACGTGCAATGACTCAGCACTTTAGGCCTCTGATACACAGCAGTACGGACAACTTTAGTGTCCCTATGCATCTGAGAGAAACTAAACTAACAGCCGAGGAAAATATGTCGAGGTGTTTAAAACATGCTCCTTTATGACAAAGTAGCATTCAGATATCAAACCAAAACCTCCTTTTTCTGTTTAATCAATATTATACTAACAAAAATAGTCAGATTCATAACTTTATCAGAATCCTCACCTGCAGCAGCCTGATGTAGCCCGGGGTCAGTCTCGGAAGTCTGAAAAACATCTTGGAGCGTTCCTACTGTGGCCTTCCCGATGGATCAGGGGTGAGTCAAAGGCCGGGTGAAAGGCTCAGACTCCTCTGCCTGGACTCCTTAAAGGGGGAAACCCGCTGCTGGAGGCTCCTTCCAGGCGTGTGCGTGTTGACTGTTCAACCTGCGCTCTCCTCTCTGGATGCAGGACAGCCCCGTCACTCCTTATAACGTCCTGTCTTTACATAAGAGGCGGCATGTGGTGTGTCTAAGGGGATTACAGGAGCTGGCACACGGGGATTGAGAAGGCTGCTTGAATATCAAAGGCGAAGTGAAGCCATGCTGAATTTATAACACTTTACTGTATTATTATTATAGATTAAAAATCATTCAGTTAAAATAACTTATTAATTTAAAATGAATAACATGTCTATTTATGAATTGTTTTGTCTGATGTATTGTTTAACAATGGCACAACTGCATAAAACATAAAAGTATTTGATGTGATCTTTGTAATCTATGCAACATTTTCAACATTGTGATGATTTATACATAAAGTGATTCATTGATATATTACTATTATTATTATTTGTACACACTTAGACAGCAGATTACACTGTCCACAGTCTTTACCTTCGCCAAGGAGGTTATGTTTTCACTGCTGCTCGTTTGTCCATTAATATTACACACAAACTACTGAACCGACTTTCTTAAAACCTGGTGGAAAGGTGGAGTAAAGGCCAAAAAAGAACGGATTAACTTTTGGAGCTGATTTGATTAAGGGGGTGTGCCAAGGATTTTCACTTCTTTAACAATACAAGCTAAGGTGTTTTGTGAGGGTTAGGGTTAGGGTTAGGGTGTGTTTGGACTTTCTTAATGATTAATACAGAGCTCTTGATGAGTGTGGGCAATTTGGTGCAGCTTGATTGATTTTAAGGGGACTGTTAGAGGACATATGCGCCCTACTGAGGGCCATTCTTAAAACATTTTGGTTTCTGCTCTGAACATTTCCACCTTTGATGCCTATTTCCATCTTGTTTGAAAAAGTTAGACACCACAGCAAAGTGGAGTACGATGAATAAGAAGTTGTTGATTACGAGGCAGATTCAGCACATTAGCCTCAAACAGTTTGTGAATTCAGCAGCTCCTCGAACGGCCTTCTACATTCGGTGAATCTGCCACATACTGCACATCGATTTGGATCTTTTCCAGTCGATGTTGAGAATAGCTGCTCCTGCCATGTCAGCACATTTCTCTGAGCTTTAATGTCCTGCCCGGCCTCAGGGTCCTGAGCTCAGAGCGAGGTCTTATTATTAGGTAGCTGGTAACTCTTCTTTCTTTCTTTCCATTCTCTCTGGTGAGAACAGCCAACAACGACCTTCTTAACATCTCCGGTAACAGGACCTGACTCTGCCTCCTGACTCATGCATCCATGGATAATCTCGAGCCCTGGCAACAACACTGCAAAGTCGACATGATGCCACTGAAACTTGTAATTCTGAGTGGGTTTCTCAAACAAAACCATACAAATTTTAAATTGCTACAGGAGATGATAATACTAAAATCACTCATGATGTTAGAAAAAATACAGCAGGTGATGCCGCTAACTTTTAGCAGGTATATTTATTGAACGCTGTGGTTTTAAAGCACCGTCTGGGAAACCGGAATGTTTTAAATGTTGTGCTAATCCATCCTGTAGGAGTTAACGCATTTCACTAGATGTGTGAAAAATTTCAGCTACAAGTGACAATAAAGGGAATGTCAAAGTATAACAAGGAGCCGTCAGGATTCATCCTCAGGTCAATATTCGTACCAAATTTCACAGCAATCGGTTGAATGATTATTGAGATATTTCAGATCAAAGTGATGGGCAGATCAACAGATAGGCTGATACTGCTGCCCAGGGAGCCAGCCTAGTACGGCTAGGACAGAGAAAATGAAAATAACAATCCATGAACTTTATATTAAGCCACATCAGCGTGACAGGTAATGTGCTCTGTGCCCGGATGGTCTCCTCTGGCTAACGTTTGCAGAATGAGCCCATGAACTTCCATCAGACACAGCACCTGGTGCGTCCACCCATGAATGGAGGCCGCAGATGGCTGCGACCATGCTAATTGTTCACCACTATAGCACTTTACACACACACCACACACACTCTGTGTGGCTTTGTGTTTCTGTGTTCACTATAACCTGCCGGTGCATCCCGGGTCTTAAGAGCCAGCAGCTCCTCTGAACCTGGTCTGTGGCTGTTAGCTCCCACACCGGTCGTCACAATGCCACCGTCCAGCTGAGATAATTCTCTAGCCTCTTCCTGAACCCAGCCTCTGGCATTGAGGTATGGGTGAAAGTATTAGAATAGATTACGTGAGCTGTAGACGGGGATAGTGATGCCGAAGGTTAAGCTACAGCCTCCCTGGGTGGTACTGTAACCCAAGGTCCATCAACAACATGCTGCGCTGCTATATCGAGTGTAGCGTTAGGTAACAGCTACAAGGGGGTTGTGGGAATAATGCAACAGGACGAGTTATTGTTCTTAATCATTCAGCCTTGTAACGACTATCTGCTGAGACACCATTACCATCATCACTGTTACTTCACTGAGGTAATTAATCTAGAGCCGATAGACTGTAGGACAACAATTGTGAAAAGGCACATGGAACAGCAACAAAGTCAGATATTGATTTGTAGGGAGTGAACTGTAGATAATTGAGGAGCTATTACGTTAACAGGCAGGGTTTAAATGTCATAACATCTGCGAACAACACTGCACCTTCGGCAGAGCTGACATTTCCTTCTCCTACAATTAGAGGGTTCGATCTGGAATACGAATCTGATGGTAATACCGAACAAATGTTTGATGAATTTAAACTACAAGAAGAGCAACTATCACGAACAGAGAGAGGAAAGAATCCGCTCGGCTGATGACAACAACTTCAGGCTCTCTCGTGGTGGGCAGGCGAGCTAACAAAGCAATTTCCCTGCGGAGATCAATAAAGTTTTTATGACTCTGGGAGGAATCTCAAAGCTCAGGATTAGCTGGCCTTATGCCTTTTTACAATCTAAGGAATGAAAGTGGATTAAACAAAGGAAAAACAAGCAGACATATTTTATAATAAAAATATTTTATACAGCATCTTAAGCTTGACATTTTGCAACGCACGAAATGAGAAGAAAGTTTCAAGATGTAGCGATAGAAGTAATCCTTCAGTGGCGTCTCTGTTTCAGTGTGACTGACAGTCTCATGGGTGTGTGGTAGAAAGTCCCCTCGTCTTGTCGCCCCGCATGGGAAGGATATCTGTGATCCAGTATTGGAACAGTGAAGCGACGGCAGCGTATTCTTCTAAAACACAGAGACACAGTAAGACACATTTCAGTCACAGCTCAAGACTCCTGACAACAACGATACCACAGGAACCGTCAGAGACTTTATTTGCTGTTGCACTTTGAGCTCAAGAAATCCAAATCACTTCTCAGCGTGCAGACATTCAATCTGACACTTCTGTCTCCAGCCAAAGACTCTCTCTTTCGCTTATACTTAAAAAAAAATAAAAATCTGAATTCAATTTAATCTGAGCAGAACATAAAAAGGACGCTGTAAAAGCCAGTGTTGTTCGTGATGGGATCTCCAGGGTGCAGTGAAATCTATTTAAAGGAAATGTGCTTCAGAACTGCTCCTGCAGTCGATTGATTGCCACTGCAAGGGTAGATAGAGCACTGAACTCAGTTGAAGGACTTTGCAAAACCCGCAGGAAAGGCTCCTGCACGGAGATGGATGTGGGATTAATTAAAATGCTGATTTCACAAAGTGGATGTTCACCAAAGTTATAAAATATTACTCCACCTCAGATATATCAGGAACCTAACCTAAACCACAAAGGTTCATTCCTTCACAATGAATTCTTTGACAAGTTTTGACAGTTTGTATTTTGTCGCCCTGCTACTAGCTGCCTGCGGAGACAAACAGTGACTTGAAGCATGACTCATACAGTATGAGGTGGGTGGGGAGGGAGACTGGAAGCTTTCAGCTGAGAATTAGATACATGGAGAGGATAGGCACAAGTGTTTGTATTGCATGGCGTCATCTTGGTGACAGGAAGAGACTAGTTACACTGTGTGACCGACAGTGAATCTCCTCGCTGGTCTGTCTCTCACACACACACACACACACACACACACACACACACAC